CTGAAAGACCCGAGGTGAATACAGCATAGGTCCAAAACCCAAGCTGTCGCTGCAGCCACCTGCCATACCCCCTCCTCCCTTCCACTCAGGAATTCTGAGAATTTGCTCTGGGCCACGGAGTAAGCTAGGGGATTTGCTGATTGCAGGCAGGAAAACTAGACTGAACATTTTTTTTTTCTCTCTGTCTCCTGAAGATGCATTCTTTCTGAAGCAGGGGATCGATTCCCAACAAGATACACAAGTTTCCAATGAAGCCACTTATATGAGTCTGGAGTGAAGCCGTACAAATCCTCTGCCAGGGTCATTTATCTCCCTGGCTCAAGGAAGCCACAACCCTTTCAGATGAGGGGTATGGCGTTGCCGGAGGCAGGGCAGTAATGGGGCAGAGCAACTTGATAGGGTGAGTGAAGTTGTGTGTAGGAAGCTGGGGGCATGGTGCAGTGTTGTTATCCCTAGTCTGACCTTGCTGACTTGGGTCATTCCCAACCCCCTTCCTAAGCCACACTTCCCCTCTGGAATGAGCGGTGTGCAGTGTTCCTCTCACACTTGCCGACAGTAAAGGGGGTAGCACAGGCTTTTTAGAGGAAAGACTTGAGTTTGACTCAGCCTCACCTCTCTGGGCCCTTGGGTGGTGCTATTTGGAGATAAGGTTATTTACAGTAAAGATCAAGTTCAGTTGAGGTCTATTAGACGGGCCTTGATCTGGCATGGCTAGCGTCCTTATCAAAGGGGGGAAAAGGTATTTAGAAAAAGAAGATAGCTACCTCCAAGGCAAAGAGAGAGGACTGAGACAGAGCAGTTCTTTCCCTTGAAAGCCTTGGAAGAGCCCAGATGGCAGGCTGATGTCAGCCCGCCAGCCTCCCAGACTACAGATCCTGATTTTCTGTTGATATCATGCACAGGTAGTATGCTGTCACTTGCAGCCATAGCAATAAACACAGGTGACCCTCCCCCACCAGTCTCCTGACTAGTACTGTGGGGACAGTGGTATCACCTCTTCCTGGATTGTTTTAGGACTCTGAGGAGAAGGTGTACATGAGACACTTAGCATGGCTTTTGACATATAGTGAGCACACAATAATAGCGGTGGCTCTTAGTCCTGTGCCATGACCTCTTGGCTCTATCAGGAGAGCTTGCAGAAGGTAGACAGCTGGGACAGGGCCAGAAAGCCCCAGATGAGACCTTTCTCAGGGAACTGGCTCACCTTACATACCCCTTCAAAAGCCTGTAAATGTAGAGGAGGCCAAGAATGTCCCATTAGTGGAGAACCTAATGGTTTTTAGCTGGAGAGTGGTCTTGGGCCTAATTGACGAAGCTACAAAGCTGAGGTTCTTTATTTTTATATGCTGGCTGCACTCTGAGGATGCTGTTGAGCTGCTATGAGGATCAATATGTGCAGCCACCATGGGCACTTATGGGCATTTTGAGAAGGAGGTAGCGTGGTCGCCAAGGAGGGATAGATAACTCTCTGGATGACCCTAAACAGACTCCTTACCCTCCTTGAGCCTCAGTTTCCACATCTGCACAGTGAATGAGGTGGAGCATCCAGCACAGAAGCTTTTCCACTGGGCTGCGTGTAAATTCTGTGTGCACGCATGTGTCTTGGGGAAGAATTAGCATTATGCTTCTCTGTTTGGAAGTACCAGAGATTGAACCTAGAGTTTTGCATATGCCAAAAGCAGGCACTTCACCCCTGGGCCATACCCTCCAGCCCTTTTATCTGGTTCTGGAAGGAGCCTCTACCTCCCAGATCATCTACCACCTGGATCACCCTTCAGGATTGCTGACTCCTGGCTGAACTGGGCTTCTGAGAGTCTGACTCTAAGGCTGCTCCTCAAAACCAGGTCCTATGGAGGTAGACTCTGTGAGTTATTGGGGTAAGAGAGACCAAGGACGTAGCAGAAGGCTGACTGCTGAGGGTTTGCTTGTCAGCAGGCTCCCGCTATCCAGCACCCTTCTCTCTCACCTGCAGGCCCTCCTTGCTATTCTACAGGCTCTCCAGCTTGCCACCTCCTGTCTCCTGCATGCCTCCCGCAGCCTAATGCTGTTGCTATGCTGACCCTACCCCCATCACACTCAGACACCGTTGCTATGGTGACTCTACCCCCATCGTGCTCAGAGTGAAACCCAAATCTCTTACAATCCCCACCTGATCCGGCTTCCACCTGCCTGTCCACTGCCATCCCCCAGCTCTGGTCAGTGAGCTGCAGCCTGCTGAGCTCAGCACTTCCCTGGCTCCATGTTAGCATGTCCTAGGCTTGTCCTCACTGGGGTCTTCACCCTGACTAATGCCCAAAAAGCCCCTCCTGCCTCTTCTGTCACATGGCTTCTGTCCCCACCTCACTCCCCCCCCATCTAAAACAGTCAACTCCCATGCTCCAAATGACCCAGCAAGTCCAGACCTAATATTTATTCCCAGAGAAATAAAGGCATGTCTACCGAAAGACTTAAACACAACTGTGCCAAACTTACAATGGCCCAAACCTAAAAGCAAAGCAATTGACCATCCACAAAAGCCAAAGCCATCCACACTGTCACAGACTGAGTGAGTGTACAGGGGACAGAAGCTCCAAGAGGCAGCTGGGAGTAGCCACCTTTAGTGAGTTAGTGGCAGTGGCTGCTGCGCAGAGGTGATTCGGAGCTGCTGAGTCAGTTACGGCAGTGTGTTCCCCTCACCATCAGGCCCCGAGCTAGGCCCAGAAGCATCTAGCTGACCTCATCACAGTTTCTGCGGTGGTCCTTATTCTGTACTGCAGCCTTAACTGTAAGAGTTTGAGGTGTGACAGCAAAACCAGCGTGAACTCTTCTCCTCCTCACAAATTCTGAGATCCTAACTAGTCTTCCATAGGACTCTTCTCCTTCCTGATTAGAACACTTGCCTTTCCCCCTCATGGCGGCACGTTAGCATGTCATGACAGCACTGCTGCTCGTGAACTTTGGGGGCATTTACCAGTGAGGTAAGAGTTAACTGAACTGCCATGCCACAGCAGTCTGTGAAGTAATGAGGGTGCCTCCAGCGAGCCTGATGGGCAGCTCATATACACCCTGTGGATACCCTGGACCAATGAATGACTGACTGGGCCCTGAAGATTTCATCACGCTAATCAGAATGGTGCATAATTTAAAACTTCTGAATTGCTTACTTCTGGAATTTTCTGTACAGATAAAGAGGGTGTAACTAGAATCACATCTTCTGTGTGATTTGCCTAATGCCATCCTCCGTCAGCCCTAGTGGTCCACCTCTGGGTGGACAGTGGTTGACTTTGTCTGTCCCACCTTTGGCTGTTGCATATCCTCTGGTACATGGCTCTGAGTAACTTGCACCTCAATACTTAGGGATACTGGGTATCCATGTATGAAAGAAGATGGAGAGAAGGGATGGGAGGACCTGCCCCTGGAGCACATCTCCTGGCACAGTGCTGCTTGGCCTGAGACTCAGATGGGGATGGCCGTGTGCACAGAGGTCTGTTCCCCATGCTGCCCATATAGGCAGGATTCTTGCAAAATGCCAATTAAGATATTTGACCCAAATTTGGGTAAAAGCCCTTTTCCTGTTTCAAGTTGAGCTAATTATACACATTTATTCATAATTTATGTGGCCTGGTAAGTGGGAACAATTAAGGAAAAGGCCCTGGGAAAGCCAATTGCTCTTGTGTCATATTTGCTTTGGGGGTTGCTGAGTCCACTCCCTCCCATCTGCATGGAACGATGCTACATTCATTATGACCGTCATCCTTCTCTGAGGTCACTACCCTTAACTGACATCTACTGAGCACTTGGTGGACCCGACTGTAACATCACCTCAATTGCTCTTGAGCCTGTAAGCCAGGTACCCATTTCATAGGTAAGACAGTTGGGTTTCAGAGGGTCATGTGAATGGCCTTCCCTAACAGGCTCATGACTGGTGAGTAGATGGGGCCAAGCCTCAACTGCTTCTTCACATCTGTGCTAACCCACCCACCACAGTGCTGTCTTCCCGCCTCAACAATTTCTGAATCTTCAGGGCAGTTCTATAATTGGTGATGGGTAACCTTGGGTAGTGGATGAGAAAGTCAGCAGCTTCTGACTCAGCAGAGGTGGGCTGGCCCTAGTGTCTACAATAACAGTAAATCCCCAGGAGAAGAGGATGCAGCTGGCCCTGGTACTTTGAGAACCACTGGTCAGGATGGTGCTGCTACCAGAGTCCCTTCAAACTTCCTCCCACCCTGGCCTCACTGCAGGTGGGTGAGGAGCTCTGTCAACCTCTTCCTGTGAGCTTACATGGATATTATTCCCAAACGGAGAACCTTCCAGCTTGGTTGCCATTTCCTCCCACGACATGCAGATTGTGGATTGCCTGCCGTGCGCGAGGCTATTCTATGACTTAGCTTTTCTTTGCCACATCTTCATAGATCTGCCTCGTTCTTTTCGGCAAGACTGCCATGTTCTGTAATAGAGCTGTGTCCTGGCTTTATTTCAACCTATCCTCTGATGGGTGATCTTCTATACTTTAGATATTATAAATAACCCTCCCCCACCATCCCTGTGGAGTTAGGTGTTTTACAAAAGCTTGGGAATCACTCATTATATGTCATTATTATTATCTCTGTGTTCTGTTCTGGGATTAATATATATGGGGCATTAACTTTGTGGCAATGTTTTTCAGGTAATGGGCACATATGTAAAATGGCATACAATGGCATAAAATGGTTTACAAGCTCTCATAAAGATTCCAACAAAGTCCTAGTAAGAAAGACATGCTATGTGGGCAGGGCCTTGAGGGATGTGTAGCAGCACAAAGGGAAAGAGAAAAGCGGGGCTTTGTGCCTCAGGGCCCACCTTACCTACCAGTCAGCTCAGCAGTTTTGAGAAATAGGGCAAATCTTCACATTTATTGGTTATCTGGTAAATTTGTGTCTTAGTATAGGGTCCAGATCTACGGCTTTATGAATAAGCAGGTTCCTGGCTGGGTATGGCCAAACTCAGCTCTGATCACCTTTTTCCTTTCCTGTTCTCCTCAGGGTGGGGAATCTGGAGAGGAACAGCTGTGTGCTGACTTGCCAGAGCTCGACCTCTCCCAGCTGGACACCGGTGACTTTGACTCAGCCACGTGCTTTGGGGAGCTGCAGTGGTGCCCGGAGACTTCAGAGACAGAGCCCATCCAGTACAGCCCTGATGACTCTGAGCTCTTCCAGGTGAGCCCTGCCTCTCGATGGCCCCGCTCTGTGTTGTCTTCTCAGTCTCCTGCCTTCTGGGCTTGCTCAAGCCAACTGCGCTCACCTACGCAGGTTCTTGTGCTTCTGTTTCCCTCTCTGGATCCAGGCCTGGCTTAGGCCAGCTCTAGCTCCCGTGCCTGGCCTGTTTTGCCACCTCGAGAAAGTAGGGTCTGAAATGAGCTGCCCCTTCTGTGCCTCACAGGAGGAAGCAGGCTCCTCTGGTGGTCGGGGGTTCGATGTCCTCTGTGCCCACATTAGCTCCTCACCCCCTTTCCTGTGAGTCAGCTGTCATTACTTCTTGGTTTTATAAATGGGAAAACTGAGACTTGGAGAAGTTGGGCACATCACTTCCTCCGTAGCTGAATTAGACTTAGACTCTGAGCTGGGCATCGTGATTCGTGCTTTCAAAATCCAGTACCAGGGGTGCTGAGACAGGATGATGGCCATGAGTTTGAAGCCAGCCTGGGCTTCCTTCCATGAGTGAATTCTTATCTCAAAAGACAAAAATCAGGAGCTGGGGAAATGGGCCAGCAGTTGAGGTTTGCTGCCCTTTCAGAAGACTCAAGTTTGGTTCTCAGCACCCACGTTGGACAGCTCATAACTACTTGTAAATCTAGATTCAGGGGATGTGACACCCTCTTCTGGCTTCTGCAGACACTACACATATGTGTATGGACACATACACCTAAATAAATTATAAAGAAATAAATCTTAGCAACAACTTCAACTGTACAAGTCCAGCCTTCTTCCTGAGCCATAACTTTGTGGCGAAGACGCCAGGGTGGGGCTTGTGGTATTGAGCATCTCTGCAGTCCTGGGTTTGCCTTGTTCTCTCAGCAGGCTCTTACTAGAAAGGGCACCTGGAGGTACAACCAAACCAGTGCCCAGAGCCATTCTGCAGAGTTCGCTCAGCTCCAGTGGCTTGGGTGTCCATCCCCAGGCTGACATTCCTTTTAAGAAGGCCTTCAATAGAATAATAGTATGAAAAGTCTAGGATTTTCTTCAGAATAAAGCAAGTTCTACAGACATTTGCTTATGTGTGTTGGGGGGGGGAGGGGTATAGTACATGGATGGCCACAGAGGAAATAAAACTCTCCGTGCTGAAGCTAGGTGATGGAGCCTTCAGATTCACTGGTCTTTTCCCCAAATTGTCTTTCCCATAGGGGAAGGTGCCTAGGCTGAGCGTGCCTCTGTGCCAGTCAGGCAGCAGCACTGTACCGTGCACATGCAGGGCTTGCATGCCATTGTGCCTTCCCAGTTAGTCCTGCAGATGGAGCTTGTCTGTCCTTCCAGATCAGCCAGTCAAGTTCCCTGTGTCGGGAGCTGAGGCCATCAGGAGACTCAGTCTGGAGGGAGATATCCCTAGATTAGCGAACCCATAAGCCAGCAGCTGGGACTGCCAGGGCACACGGCAGAGAATGCCTGCAGAGTGGTCAGGAAAAGCCTCTTGGATTTAGCTGGGCGTGGGGGGTAGAAGGGTAGAAACGGTGACCCTGGTGCAGCCACTGGGAGCTTGCAATGCTGGGGAGGAAGTATGGGTGTCAGACAGGTAGTCGGAGTCTCACCACAGAGTCTTGTGCATTGTGGTAGAGCATGGATTTTCCTTGAGCCTATTCTAACCTGTAAGTTGCACATTATTATCACATTGTACAGGTGCCCAGAGAGCTGAAGTGACCGGCTCAAGGTCACACAGCTTCAAAGGGTCAGGGTAAATGCTCTGGCTTAGGAGCGCACAACCTTCGGGAACCCCTTTGCCAATCTTGTGAGAGCTGGGCCCTGGCCCTGTGTGGGTCCATGCAGGATGCCTCTGTCTATCTGTCGTCTGTCTGTCTGTCTCCCAGGATCTGTCTGTGTCTGTCTGTCTGTCTGTCTCTTTCTAGTTCTCTCTGTCTCTGGTTCTCCTGTCTCCCTGTGTCTCTCTGTTTCTCCTGTCTGTGTCTCTGTCTCTTTCTGTCTCTGTCTCTCCTCTGTCTCTCTGTCTCTCTCTGTTTCTCCTGTCTCTGTGTCTCTCCATCTCCTCTCTCTGTCTCTCCTCTCTGTGTCTCTCTGTTTCTCTCTCTCTCTCTCTCTCTCTCTCTCTCTCTCTCTCTCTCTCTCT